ATTAATAATATAAATATATATATATATATATATATATTATATATAAATTTTTTTATATAATAAAATATTAAATATATATATATAAAATATATATATATAAATATATATATAATTATATATTATAATAAAAAAATTATATTTAAAAATATATTATATTTAAAAAATTTTTTATATCTATATTTTATATATAAATATATTATATAAAATTATTTTTAAAAATATATATATATATATATATATATATATATAAAAAATTTTATCCTATATATAATTTATATTATTATATATAAAAATATTATAAAATATTATATATATATATAAAAAATATATATATACTATATTATTAATATAAATATATATAAAAAATTTTAAATATACTATAATATAAAAAAATTTTTTAAAATATTATATATAAATTTATAATAAAATATATATTTAAAATTTTATAAAAAAATTATATAATATATCTATATATTTTTTTAAAAATAATTTTAATATAATATATTAAATAATTTTAATATATTTATTTTTAATTATATATATATATCATATATATATAAATAATCATTAAAATTAAAATATATATAAAATTTAAAAATTAAAAATATATATATTAATAAAATATAAAATATATATATATAAAAATATATATTATTATAAAAAAATAAAAATATATAAAAATTTTATAAAATAAAATTATATAAAATTATATATTTTATATTATATAAAAATATATATAAAAATATATACTTAAAAAAATAATATATATATATAATATATATATTTTTAAAATTATTTTAAAATAAAAATAAATATTATAAAAAATATAATATTTATATTTTTATTAATATATATAAAATTTAAATATAAATTTTATAATAATATATATATATTTTATAATATATAATAAAATTCTATAAAATTTTTATTTTTAAAATTATATATTATATAAAAATATAAAATATTTTAATATAATATATATATATATTTAAATATATATATATTTTATATTTTTATATTAAAAATATATATATTTTATATATATAAAATATATAAATTATAAAATTTTATATAAAATATTTTATATATTTTTATATATATTTATATATATATATATATATTATATGAATTTATATATTATATTTTGAAAAACAACCACTCTGAAAGAATAAAAAATTTCCCAAAAGGCTTTCGTGACTACTCACTTTAAATAAGGGGAATTTTAAAATTTAATAGTTCCTTGAATGTGATGTATTTTCCCCAGGGAAAAGCGCTTGGAATTTTTTTTATTTTTTCAGAGTGGTTGTTTTGCATTTTCCCTGAAATCCCCCTGTTTATTTGTGTCTTATTTGCAATATATTATATAATATTATATAATATAAAATATGTATTTATTACTATTTATGTCGGGGGCTGTTTGGGAAAAAACTTGCGATCTTGGCTTAAAAAAAGCAACACTCTTCTTCCCATATACGACAGTAAAAATTTGGGGAATGCAAAATTTTCCCCCCAAAATCTTTTTGAACCAAACCCGAAAATAATTTAAATTGTGTTTTTTTTAGAAACCTAAATTAGGGGAAAAATTTTAAAAAAATTTATTTAGTTGGGTTACTAAAAAAATTCCCTTTTGGGTTATAAAAAGGATAGGTAAGTTTTCTAAGATTCTTTTGATAAAAATTTAAAAAAAATTTTATATTAAAATTAAAAAAAAAAATTTTATTTTTTAAACGTATAAGAGAAAATTTAAAAAAGGTTTTAAATTTTTAAATGATTTCTTGAATTGACCAGTTTTAAAAATTTTGGGCACGGCCCCAAACTTATATATAAATATTTATTTTTATCACACGGGCCCGTTTCCCCAACAAGGCAGGGGGGCCCCGAAAAAGAAAAACTTTAAAACCATCTTTTAACTCCATCACTGTCTTGCCGGGAATGTGCTTTAAAACTTCATTTTTAAACTGCAACATTAAACCCCTCCTTTCAGAGTGCACCCCCACTTTTTATTCCCACTCCGGGACTCAACCCCCGGCTCCCCTTCCCCTGAACCCCTTAATAAATTTTACTTTGTACACCCCAATACAGTCAAGTTTTTAAAAAAACCATTTGTCTAAATTCACTCCTATAAAACACGCTCAGCATGCCGCGGGAACCCCAAGCCCCTCGCACAAAAAAACCCTCCTTTCCCCCCCCCTTTCCCAACCTTTCTAGGCCGCCCCCTACCCGCCTTCTTCCACAAAACAAACTGATAAAACTTTTGAATTTTTTCTGTTTCGCCCATTCCCCCCCCTTTTCCCGGAAACCCCCCTCAAAAACCCTTTTTCCTCGGGCCCTCTGGAAAAACATTTTTGGAAATCCTGCAAAATTAAAAATATATATATATATATATATATTATATAATATATATATATTTTATATATTTTTTTTTTTTGAAAAAGGGTAGTGGGTTTTGGTAGACAGAAACCCCCAGGGAGGTACTCCCCGCCTGCCAAGTGATGAAAAAGCTAAAGCCTGTAATTGTTTTTACACGATGGTAAGTTTTGTGGGTTTTTTTTTTTATCGTCTCATACACTTTTGCAAGTTTCGGGTATTTTCTTGCTACTTCTATTACACTTAGGTTTACACTACAAAAAACAGGGAAAACATATATATACACACCCTTTGGGGGGTTTTTCTATTTTCTTTTGTTTTTTGTTTCTTGTTTTATTTTTCCTTTACCTCCAGGGGAAATGGAAAAAGAATTCTTCCTCCGTAAGCCAGCGTGTTGTAAAAGGCGACTAAAAAACCGGGGGCAAGGACAAATTAACCCTTTTTCCTGTATTTATTACAAATGTAAAAAAGGGGAAAAATTTTGGGGTTTTTTTTTTGGGCCCCCCGCCTCGGTGGGGGTACGGGCCCGGGGTGGGGTTTAAAGAAAGAAAAGATAATAAAAATATCTAAATATAAATTAAATTTTTAAAACCCCCAATTTTTCCGACTTCGAAACCCAGTTCGGTTTCCGAGAACCCCCTTCGTAAGTCGAAAAGGCTTTTCGAAATTTACTAAGGGAAAATTTAAAAAAAACATTTTTGTAATGAATTTTAATTTTTTTTGTTTTTTTTTTTAGTATTTTTTGTTTTACTTTTTTTTTTTTGTTTTTACTGTATTTTAAAACTGCAAGGGTTTTGGGTAAAAACTGTGTACAACACAAAAAGTTTTTATTTCCCAGAAATTTTTGGGATAAAAAACACGGTCGTAAGTTGGGTGGTAGGTTTGTGGGGGTGTTTATCATATATATATATATATATATAAAATATATATATTACATGTTTTATTTTTATATAATATATATATATATAAAAAACTTTTTTTTATATATTTAAAAATAATGTATAAATTTTATAAAAATATAAAAATGTAAAAATTATATATTAATTTATAAAATATATATATATAATATTTAAAATTATAAAAAATTTTTAAAGTTTGTGGCCCCAACATGTAAATCTGGTATTAAACAAGAACTCATTTAAAAAATTTAAATCCTTTCCCCGAAAAATTTTCCCTATAAGTTTTAAAAATACAGTTTTTTCATTAATTTGATGTAAAAATTTTTAAATTTTCACCCCCAAAAAAAATTTGGGAAAAAAAAAAACCCAACCCCTTTTCATAACAAGCGCAATTTATTTTAGGGCCAAACCCCGCAAATTTTATTTTAGATTTGTTTACAAAAAATTTTAATTCAAAAAAAACACATGAAATAGTATATTTTTTTTTATTAGTTCATTATGAAATTTTTGGGGAAAATTAAATTTCATAAAACAAAAATTTTTACTTGTTTCCCATATGGCAAGGGTTGGGGCTATTTAAACCCCCAAAATCGCAAAAATTATTTCCCTTTTTGGCACGACTTATTTATTTTTGGGGTGTATATTATATATATTTTATATGTATAATAAATAATAAAATTTTTTTTGTATTTGTATATAAAATATATATATGTATAAAAATATAATATTGTATATATATAATGTTATGTATAAAATATATATATGTTTTATGTTTTGCCCCAATTGTTTAAAAGGTCCCAAATTTGCAAGAAATCTTTTAAATTTAAATCCTTTTTAAAAATTTTTTCTTATCCCTTTAAAGATATATTTTTTTCATTAATGTTTTGTAAAAATTTTAATTTTGCACCCAAAAGAAACTTAGAAAAATTACCCAAAACCCTTTTTTAACAAAAGCAATTTTTTTTTAAACCTCACCCCAATATATATAATTTTTTGATTTTTTTTACAAAAATTCAATTTCAAAAAAAAAAACAGTTAAATATATTTTTTTCTTTATTTAAAATGATTTTTCAAAAATTTTTTGCATACACAAATTTTTTTCTTGTCCCATATGGCAAGATTTAGCGTTTCTTTTTAGCCAAGATCGCAATTCTGCCTAAATTTGGCACGACATATATATAAGGGATATAAATATATTTATGTTAAATATGTATTTGTATATATATAGGTTTAAATATGTATATTTTATAATATAAAATATATAAATATATAATATATATATATATATTTTTAATATATATATATATTTTATATATATAATATTTTTTATAATTTTTTATTATATATATTATTTTAAATATATAAATAAAAAAAAAAAAAATACCAACACACAAAACACCCCACAGTAATATAACAATTTTTTCAAAAAAATAAAAAATTTTAAAAAAAAGGACATAAAAATAATTGTACAACTAAAGAATATTTGGGAACAAAATGACCGAGATAAATTTCAATCTTACATAAGTTTTTAAAATGTGGGAAAACATCATTAATCTTTGTGACATAGGGGGTTATTTAAAAATGCCTAAAGCACTTGATCAAACCAACATTTTTTAATCTTGAATTGTGGTATGAAATTACAGATGGAAAACTACTGTGCCAATTTTTTTTTTACATTTTTAGATCAAGTTCTTCACTTTTTCATCAAAGCATTATTTCTATGTTTTTAAGAATTCTAAACACAGAAGCCAATGCTATGTTTTGCACTTCATACCACCACAAAAAACATTTATGCTTTGCTTCAATAACTGTCTTCATCACACTGTACATAGATTGACCATAAATATGTATTGTATGAAATGGTATTCAAGATTATACATTCTGGACAATGAATAAATCATATTTCTAAAGGCAATTAAGATCTTTTAAACAAATGATGCCTTAGATCTGAATTCATAAAAAAATATCCCCAAAAGGTAAAGAAAAAATATAATGGGGGTCCTGTACTGGAAGTGGTTAAATCCTGAAGCAGGTTAAGTACAATATCTATTGCTACCATACAATGAGGATCTCACAATGGAGGGATAACAGGGACGTGTTCGCAGGGTAACACTTGATGGAAGTTAGGGCGGGGCTGCTTACATGGTTGTGCTTAGCTGTTTCCCCTTTAAACCATGTTTATTATTTTAATTTTCTTATAGTAATTTCTCAAATAAGCCACTTGTAACAGTAACAATAACATGTACTCAAGTAAAATTTTGTATTTGGTATACAGTACTCCAGTTGGCACACAATTCATACACTGCACTTAATATCAGTCTTAAGACTGGAGCAATTATTAAGATAAGTTTCATGTTACTTTCTATTACGCGAAACAGGTTTTGAGCGGTCAGAGATTGAAGAAAGGCCTTCGGCTCGGCTTTTGGATCGTCTCATGCTGTTGAGACCTTCACCTGAAATAAATTAATCTGTAACTATCCCAAATCCCACAAGTATGAAATCATTAATACACAAATAAGAAGACAGGTACAGCTTAAGCAAAAATTTTATTAGTCATATTACAAAGATATTTTAAAATTATATCTGTAAATTAATCATTTACAAATATAAATGAAGGATAATTAAAATGCTACTGCTTATGAATGCTCACTGCCCATCATCGTATGACAGGATCATATATGGAAGGTTGAATATTAATGACTCCGTAGCCAGCAACATAGTCACCAGACAGATATCTAGCAAAACAAAGGATGTCTAATGGTATTCTGAACAACTTAAAAAATAAACTGCATCTGTATGTGAGCACTAACTTATTTTGGCAAGAAACTACCTGTAACACTTCCATCAGGGGACATTACTTGACACCAGTGAGGGGCTCCTGCCGCATGGAATTGAACCTGACCTCAACTTCCTTGGAAGGGAAGATCTGTATGGTCTTAGCATTCTCTCATTGAATGTAATATAATAATATCCATAAGAGTAAGATTAAAGATACCTATAACACAATAAGATTAAAGAAGCGCCATAGTTTAAACACCCATTTTCATTAAAAAAACACTCGTCTTTTCTGCAAGAAAAAACTGAAATGTTTAGACATGATTTTCATATAATAGCATACATCCCTAGGGTAGCAAATGCATAGCCAAAACTGTCACCTGTAGGAAAAAAAATGACTTGCTCCCTGTCAGCTGGCATTGCTATAGTATATTACCTGAAATTCTGTAGATAGTATCAGCAAAGTACAAAAGTTTTAATATGTGCCTATAAATTGAAACTGATCTATATGGTGACAAATTTGCAGATCATCTAAATTCTAGCTGCCGATCTGTAATCCCAAGATTAAGTAAAGATTCTACAGGTTTATTCAGCATCTGTACACAATGGAGCTGAGGACCGGGACTGAAAATGATGTTGCCCTATTTTAAATTCCGTAAGGTCTCAAATATTTACTGATTTTAGGCATTTCCTCCTGTTATGTGAACTTACTGAGGAACAGATGTACAAAGCTTCTCCTTTCCAGGATGGTCTACTATATCCCATGTGGTAAGACTCTTACTTCAAAAGTTGAGTAACTATGCTCTACCATAGTAACAAATAATGTTTTTATTATTATTATTCTTATTAGTAACACATTGGCTGCATCTTACTGAGGCAGGATGACCGAAAAAGAAGAAACACTTTCATCATCAGTCACTTCACTATCTTACCAGAGGCATACCTACACTACAGTTAAAAAACTGCAACATATCTCCACCCCTTCCTCAGTATGCAGGTAAATGATACTGGGTATGGATTCATGTGGGACCATTCCTGCCTAACTAATTTACTGGCTTTCTTCAGTAAAGCATTTGAGGCAGCTGATCATGATAAAGAATTTGATATTATTTATTTGGATTTTAGTAAAGCTTTTGATAGGATACCACACAAAAGACTTAAAGTGACAGCTCATGGTAATGAGAGGAAAGTCCTGTCATGGACTGAGGCATACCTCATGAACAGGAAGCAGAGACTGTGCATAAATGGGGTAAAATCTAAGTGGGAATCTGTAATAAGCGGCATTCCACAGGGATCAGTTTTAGGCCCATTGTTGTTCATAATACAGTGGTCCCTCGTTTTTCGTAAGCATCGAAAGTTGTAATTTTCGAAAATCGTAATTTCTTTTCGTCCAAATGTTGACTCACGAATCGCCATTCGTCTCAGATGTGTACGCACAGCCCCGAGTAGCCTCACACTCCATTCCCAGCCAGTGTGCCGCTGTTTATCGGAGAGTGACCATCACCTCATGCATTCATATGATACATTTCATAATATTCCATTAATTTTAGTGCTTGCAACTGCTAAATAAGCCACCATGGCTCCAAAGAAAGCTCCTAGTGCCATGCCTTTGGTAAAGGTTAAAAATACAATAGAAATCAAGAAAAAATCATTGAACAATATGAAAGTGGCGTACATGTGGCAAAGCTGGCCAGGATGTATAAGAAACCCCATACAACCATCACTTCCATCGTGAGCAAGAAAAAGGAAATCAAGGAAGCTGCTGTTGCAAAGGGGGTATATATGCTCACGAAAATGAAATCGCAAGTACTCGAAGATGTTGAGAAGTTATTGTTGGTGTGGATCACAGAGAAACAATTAGCAGGAGATAGTCTTATGCAGTCGATTATTTGTGAAAAGGCAAGGCAGCTGCATGACGATCTCGTAAAGAAATTGCCTGCAACGAGTACTGATATTTACGATTTTAAGGCCAACAAAGGCTGGTTTGAGAGATTTAAGAAATGTAGTGGCATACACAGTGTGATAAGGCATGGTGAGGCTGCCAGTTCTGGCAAAAATGCAGCTGAAAAATTCATAAGTGAATCCAAGGAGTACATACAGACTGAACAATTCAAACCCCAACAAGTGCTCAATTGTGATGAAACAGGCCTAATAATAATAAGCTAATAATAAGGCATGGGTCACAAGGGAAATCTTCCTTGATTGGTTCAATGAAGTGTTTGGCCTCAGTACGAAGAAATACCTCCTGGAAAATAAATTAGAACTCAAGTGCTTCCTGCTAATGGACAATGCACCTGCTCATCCCCCAAACTTGGATGACCTAATTGTGAAGGAGTTTAGTTTCATCACAGTGAAGTTCTTGCTCCCTAATACCACTCTCCTCCAGTCCATGGACCAGCAGATCATTTCAAACTTTAAAAAACTCTACACCAAAGCAATGTTGCAAAGATGCTTTAATGTGACCTCAGACACTCAAATGACCCTAAGAGAGTTTTGGAAAGACCACTTCAGTATCCTCCATTGCATAAGCCTCATAGGCAAGGCTTGGGAGGGAGTGATTTCCAGGACTTAGAACTCTCCTTGGAGAAATTTGTGGTCAGACTGTGTCCACAAGAGGAATTTTGAAGGGTTTGGGGCTGACCCTGAGGACCCTTTGCCAGTTGTGGAATCTATTGTGGCATTGAGAAGTTCCATGGGGTTGGATGTGAGTTTGGAGGATGTGGAAGAGTTGGTGGAGGACCAAAACAAAGACCTAACCACTGAAGAGCTGCAAGAGCTTCAGCTGGAACAGCAACAGACTGCAGCTCAGCATGATGCTTCAGAGGAGGAGGAGGAGGGAGAGAGATGGACGAAGGTCCCTTCTTCAGAAATTAACGAGATTTGTGCAATGTGAAGTAGGATGGAAAGATTTGTGGGGAAACATCACCCTGACAAAGCTGTTGCAAGCCATGTCGGCTTGCAAATTTTAGAGAGATACCAGAAACTGAGCTCTCTGGACAAGTATTTAGCGCCACAGGTGTGCAGTAACACTCACGCTGGTCTTAGTGGCATTAAAAAACAAAGAAGGGAAGTAACTCTGGAAAAGGACTTGGTACCTGAAGTCTTTATGGAAGGGGATTCTCCTTCCAAACAGTAATTAATCCAACCTCTCTCCTCCTCCAGCCTTCCATACACTAAGAAGAATAGCCAATAAAGGTATGTGTTATGCTGTTAATGTTTCATTCTTCATGTCTCATTGTTTCCTGTGTATATACATCTGTATTTCATGTAAAAAAAACATTTTGTTTTAATACTTCTGGGTGTCTGGAACGGATTAATTGTATTTACATTATTTCTTATGGGGAAAATGGTTTCGCAAATTGTCAGTTTCGATAATAGTTACACTCTCTGGAATGGATTAATTACGAAAAATCGAAGGACCACTGTATACATTAATGACCTTGACGAGGAAATAACGTGGTATCAGCAGATTTACTGATGACACAAAGGTAGGCAGGATAAATCATTCAGGGGAAGATGTCACTGAACTTCAGGAGGATTTAGACAAACTTATGTCATGGTCAGAAAAGTGGCAGATGTAGATACTACATGATAAATACTGCTACTGCAGCAACTGCTGCTGTTGCAGTGGCAGTGGTGGAGGAGGAAGGGTGCATTCTATTATAATTTAATGTTGGTAATGTCTTACTGTGCATATTTTATCAACTTAACTTTATCATAGGTGGGTAAATAAATGAATAATGACTTGTATATAGAGTTCGCTACTATCCTTGGTTTCAGGCATCCGTGGTAGGACTTGGAACGTATCCCCCTGTGGTTACAGGGGTGATGTCACCAGGGTGAACAACCATGGTGACATCATGCATTCCTGGGAAATCTCCCTTTCTCCTTACTATCCTCATAAAAACTCAGAGCTGCTTTAGTAACCTACCACCTATTCCATACACTTTCAACATCTGCCACACTGCTTCCCTATCCACTCTATCATATGCCTTTTTCAAATCCATAAATGCAACGAGAACCTTTTTACCCTTATCCAAATACTGTTCACCCATATGCTTCACTGCAAACACTTGGTCTACACACCCATCTACCCTTTCAAATGTCCCGTGGGTTTGATAATGTGGATTGAGTAAAGGATAATCACATAGGCAATAATGGAGTACAGTAAGGCCCCGCTTTATGGCGTTTCGCATTACGGTGTTCCGCTAATATGGCGATGTCAAATTATGACCAAAATTTGCTATACAGCAAACGGTCTTTCAAATATGGCGCCCCCACCCGGTTTGTTTACATTTTCCGTGACCACATCTATTATGTCAGGGAAGTGTTTTAAAGTTACTGCATATTTTATATGTACTCTGACAATTATACTTATGTGTACCTGTACTTAAATATACTTACACACTGTGCTGGTGTGCAGGTACACATTAAAATTGCTAAGTCTCTCTCTACTCATGACGCCAATACTACGTAATAATAATCACTCTTGGGCACACTAAATGTCTTATTTTACATCAATATAGGCATTTTCATTAATCCATCTATGATATTTTCCTCAAAATTATATATGAAACCCATTACATAGCATATAAACATGATACATACACTCAGAATAAAAATTGATGTAAATATGAGCTTTGTTTACAAAGCAGCTGTGTAGGTAGTGTCGGAAGAA